GAATAAACCAAAGAAAGGGATGACAAACGACTCAAACTCATGTAACAAAATTTATTTAAAACAAGGCTTTTATAACCAGACTTGTACACGTTACTGAAAAATAGTAAGGAATTACATTTACAATTACTCAAGGCTAAAAGATAATTTATTACATTTACAATTACCCTCCCATAAAAGTAAGTGACCGTTACGCTCAAAAGTAATCCGTTACTTTAGTGGCGTTACTTTCAACATTATTTTCCTCAATTGAGAAACAAAGGGAAGAAGGTTATTCAAGTTGTTATTGTTGCCACCTGTTCGATTTATTGATCTTAAGTATTTTCAGCAACAGCTGACTCTCGAAAGTCTCGTCAGACATTTTGCGTTATTTCTTACTCAATATGTCGACTGCTACGCTGGACACCATTTGAACTGAGGCACTAGATGGGGATGCCATATTGTTCCTCACGAATGCTTCATGCTCTGCATTGAGCTTTCTCAGCGAAGCAATGGAAGTACTATTTACCTCGAAGATAGAGCAAAGTTTCGTCGTTGCAGCCGTTGCAGGATATTCGAGAGTTTTTGTTAGAGTTGGTAACAGTAAGGTAATAATTAAATAATAAATAAGGTTTGGCTCGATATTCTTCCTTTGGTTCGGAACAGGTCGAGCCTCGGTTAAGACGTAGGTGAATAAGACAAAGTCTCCAATGTTTAAATGTAAGTAATCGAGAGAAAAAAAAAAACAAAGAGAAAAAAACAGGACAGTCATAACAACAATAATTAGAACGTTGGTTAAAACAAGGAAATGTAAACGCAAGTTTGCCATGTGCACCTTTCTTGGTGCCGTTCAAAAACGCACGGAGCACGGACCGACTGCAGTTTACTCCGGTGTTCTCCAGATAAACGTACGCTGATGCCACGGGCAGCCAAGGTCCGAGAACTAAGTAAGCCGTGCATGGCCCCCCTCAAGAGATTCACGCTATCCTCAGGCCCAGAATATCAAGTCTACGTCAGCCACCATAATGCTTTACTTGTGAAAAGATAAGCTTGAGATAAGATGCGTCCTGCTGGGGTAAAAACAGGAAGAGGAAAAAAGGAAGACGATTACCATTTTCAAAGTGCTCGCAAAAAGCTGACTCACAAAAAGGGTAACTCAGATGCAGATGACCTGGCTAGAATTTACAAATAAAGTGGGCCAACCCTAGAAATTGGACTACAAAAAAAAGGAAGTAGCTTTTAAAACAGGGTTTAATAAGGTGAAAGAAGCAGAACAAAATGCATCCTGTTTTCTATGAGAAGATGATAAGTGGCCATCGGCGAACGAGGATGTTTGTGGCAATAACACCTTCACATATTATCACATCTCTTTTAATGGATTTTAGGATAGATGGAGCGTTGTCTCGTGCTGTGACATTATGAAAATGGTTCTAGTCACTATAACCTAGAAGGACATTGTTACCGCCTTGAATTTCTCAATGAGACATACAACCACTTGGTATGTTCCTTCCCCCTTCCCCCTCCCCCCCCCCCCGCCTTCGATCGCCAAGCAAAAACAAAGACACTAAAAAAAGCGGACATAACTTGCCCCCCCCCCCCCCTTTTTTTTTGTAGAAATGTTTATTCGGATCTTTTGACAGTGTTTATAGGGTCTAAAAAATAAATTCAGGGGCTTGGTGTTGCAAAAAAAAGGCTTTGCGGAACTGAAGAGTGCCAAGCCTCCCTTTGCGCTAGTCAATTCGCGTGACAGTGTCACTGCGCTCAACTTTATCCAAATGAAAACGATCTTTTTCTTTAGAAGGGTGAAGGGGGAGGGAAGGGGGCTGGTCTTGAAAAACAATGTAACGGATTACAAGGAATCCGTTACGTAAAAAATGTAAGCGAATTACTTTAAAACTACTCTACAAAATATGTAAGTATTCCGTTACTAAATTACCGATAAATGTAAGGGATTACAAGTAATTTCGTTACTTGTAACGGATTACGTACAAGTCTGTTTATAACCTTCTCCCAAGGTCGTCTACATCGTAAAACCTGACTTAAAGTTCAGTGAAATTGAAAACAAAATGGTGTGTTCTTTTCTTTCTACGTTCTGGACGACTTTGGAGAAGGATATGAAACGTTGCATGAAATAAATTTTATTAGCTGAGCTTCAGACGCTTGTGTCACCTTCATGCTGTTCTTTTTAATTTGTCTTCAAGTTCCATAGACACTCTGAGGGTTGAAACATCATGACCTGATGCATAACTCATCTCGGAAGCGTCAGGCGCATTCCGAGTGGTTGGTATTGTGGCATGGGATACACTTGAGTGGTGCAGAAGCAGTGTTGGGAAGTACCTCAAGTACATTGTACTTAAAGTACTACTTCAAGTTGGTTTAGGAAACTTGTACTTTACTTGAAGTACATTCTCGGAGTATGCACGTGTACTTTACTTAAAGTATTTTTTTTTCTTTTACTTTCTGGGGGAAGAACAATTCCAGACTTCAAAGTACATTATCTAAATATGTTTTTGTTAAATTTGTATCACAAAATGATGTTTTGTGAACTTCGAAGAAATACAGGGAGGGATATTCTACCCTCAGCAGAAACGTGAGCAGACTACGCATCGCTCCCTTTGTTCTGGGGCGGCCTTCCCGTAGCTTTTCTACCTCGCTACTTTTCGGTCGGTCAGCGCAAGCAAGGAGGTGTAAAATATCAGGTAAACAAAATTAATCACAATGAAGCGCGTGAAACTGTGGTGCGGAAATGTTAAACTTCCAAGTCAAAGAAAAATACAACAGATGGAGAACGTAACAATGTTTAAAGACAATCTTGTTTGTCTTTCTCTTCGACCTGAAAGTTCCTTAATTTTTTCGCACCCCAATCTCAGGTGTCGCATTATGATTAAATATAACCGTTTGCTTGCGAGTACACTCCTCTATGAGAAAATTGCTTGCAAAGGCTAGGGGGCGGACGTCATGCTCTCTCCTAGTGTAACCACCTTGGGTGCAACAATCCTGCGCAAGCGGCGCCAACTTCAGAAGAGGAACTTCTCAATTTGGCTAAGCTCCTGAAAAAAATTACTCTGTGGCCACTTGACTTTACCAAATATTCGCAGCCGTTTTGAAAATAGGTCATGCACCTCTGATTACCCTTGAGCGATGCATACCATTTAAAAAATCACTGTTTAGGGAAATGAAAGGGCATCATGAAAGATTGTGTTAAAATATTTGTACATTGAAAGTACATTGTATTTATTGTGCTTTAGTTCCAAGTACATCGCATCCAGTGTACTTACTACTTTACTTGAAGCATACCACGTCTCATTTACTTTGTACTTTACTTGAAGTACCTTTTAGATGTACTTTACCCAACACTGTCCAGAAGTAAACTGCTTCACCTATTCGACGAGCAGCGCAGAGTGGTCTCCTCCGTCTAGGCGTTGTGACTCCGCTTCGGCTTTTGGGTAGGACTCGGCCAGGTGGAGTGCACCGTCAAGAGTGAGACCCGTCTGGACTCTCGAGCGCCATGCGAGCACGGACGCCTGTGTCACGGAAACTGGCGATGTATGCTTTCAAAAGTGTGCAGCATTGGGCATCGGCTTCAGGTGCATACTCGCAGTTGGTGATGATTGTTCGAAGCACTGGTATGAAGTATTTGACCGATTTATTCTTATTTCTTTTTCATTTATATTTGTGTCTCCGAATTCTTCTGCAGACGGGCCTAAGGCAATATGCACAAGTGCCTGACAAGGATTCGCCCCTTCTGGTTGTTCAGCGGGCCACATAAAGACGGAAAAAAGACACATTATACGAAAAATTCAAATACATTCAATAGTCAAACCTAATCAAAATAAAAACAACCAATTGATCAATATTCAGTAGCATAGAAAAACTAAAACATAAGAATTATAAATATTTTCACGGAATAGTCGAATAGTCTAAAACACGTGACTTCTACACAAGTTTGTACTAGGGTCAATGGACGAAATATATCGAATGGTGTTCACAAAAAGGGAAAGAAAATAAATTATACAAAAACACTTTCTGTGCAACAGCATTGCAAAAATAGAAGAATGCAAATTCAAGGTCATTCAATGCAAGGTCATTTGAGGCAAATTTAAAGGTCAGAAATATCAAGACAGGCGAACAGGTGCTAACAAAATGTGAGAGCTCTGCAAGGAAGGTTTTAGTTTTCCTTCCTGACAAGCCGAAAATAGTTTCGCCCGTTTGAATTATTTCAATTTGTTAGATGTTATGTGTTCCTTTTAGTTTCTTTACTAGCTCCTGATACGCTTTATTCGAGAAGCTATTCAGCATCTTGAATGTCTCGGCACGAACTGAAACGATATAAGTTGTTGTCAGCGTCCACCATAACTTCATCGACATCAAGACAAGCTTGAAACCTCATATGATACAGTCTCCAATGCTCCTCGTCGGGCGGAATGTCTCGAAACCATATAAGCGATGGGTAGAATTCTCCACCATCCTCGTTGCATGAATGTGATCTACTCCTGTTCAGTTCGCTCTTGTCTTGACCCTCGTCGCCAATGTAGTAATTCGGTGAGTCGGTTACTGCTTAACTGTGTATTACTGCAAGACAGGCCGAAGAGACATCGCCAGATTCTAGCTAATCACATCGCAGATTGAATGTGCTCGAGCTCAATCCATTAGCTCGAGCTGCGCCGACGACGACGACGACTTAGTGGTCACCTCAACTTGTGTAATCTGATCAACGTTAGAATGTATAGTTTGTAAGCTGCTTACAGTGCTTTAGAATCTTGCTTCGTTGTTCATTTTGCTATATGTGAAACTGCAAGGGAGCAGGGGCCAAGCTATGCCAAATATAGTACAAAGAAGAAAAAAAGTGTGGAGTTGGCGTTTCGCGTAAGCGACCGATTGTTTTGTGATAAAAACAGTACATTACTCGTATTTTGTATCTTGGGATATTTCACAAAATATGGGGCGAAGATATAAATTATACAGGTGAAATTCTTGCGATTAAATATTAAAATTTCTCTTAAGATGATTATTTTTTTCATCAGATGGACACATTAGTAGGTGTGCTTAAAAGTACTTTTGTAGAGATGCTTGAAAATAATACATGGATGGATAACTCTACACGTAAGGAAGCAATCGAGAAGGTACTGACCCTTATCCGTATTGTGAGCATGTACTAATGATGTCATTCATTTCAGCTTCAAAAAATGGTAGCAAAAATTGGTTACCCTTCTTGGATACTGAACGAGACGTATCTTAATGGCTTTTACGAATACGTAAGTTATATTACGTCGATTACAAAATAATAATCTTTCATACTGTGGTGAGATTTGTTTCTGTGTTCTAGGTATTTTCAGGCGTTCTAGTCTTGATATATACCGAGGTTGCATAGATATAGAATACAACCTATAGGCTGCATTTTTCTGATATTTTGTATACAGGGTGTTTAATTTTAATTCCAACTGTCTCTTTAAACCGAGTGAGAGTTAGACACGTGCCCTCTTTACAATGTATTTATGAAGCTTGGGTGACATTAGTTGAAAGGAAAGTCGTCATGCTAAGCAGGCTATTTAAACTAAAATCCGTTCGTGAACTTTTCAGTTATTACTTTTTAGGGTCATGTTGCAACGGCATTAGAGGAGATGTACGAATTGCTAGCACGTCTCGCAACATTCAGTGCAAGCTTCATATCGGCCATCTTTGTTAAGTCCAATTGGGAGAGCCGGAGAGCCGCTTCAGCGCGTTCATGAACCATGTAGGCCGCCGGAGGATTGACGCAACGATGGAATTTTACGAAGTAAACCATAGCATGCCGCGAAAAAATTTAAAAGCTATAAGTGGCCTTTATGACGATACGCTCGCAACTTGTGCGCGTCGACAGCGACGTCGTCTCGCCAGCAGAGAAAGTCGAACGTGTTTTGCCTTCGGAGCGTGCACGCGGCCCTCATCGGTGTCGACACAGGTCTGCGATTCAAGGTATGTAAGTACTGTTGCATATGAACGTGGGCCAAGGACGTTAAACTTGCTGAAAGTGTGTTTTGGAAGCAACGCACCATTTATGAACATTTCGCTTCTATGCGTGTTCGTTTAAAATCGGGAGCATCCCACCTCAGATTTGAGTCGCCACATTTACTTCCGAGGCACGTCGACACCTTTTCACTGTACTTCCCATCTTACAAATTGTGTTTTGCGCACGCGAAAGGACAAATTTGAGAACTTGGCTTCGCAAAATTCGTTGTGTGCATGAAAACTCGCGCAGAGAAGACACTTTCAGAAGCGTCGCAGTCGCTCCAAAGGCGGCACTGTAGACGTTTTTGTAGTTTACTTGCACTTAGGACGTCATAGTGGCACTTCAGTGCACTGACAAGTTGCAAAGACGCGAAACGGTAAAATCATTAGGGAACGTTTGCTCACAACGGGGCTCGCACCTTGCTGTGGGTGAGGCTTTATGTAGGTTAGAGCAGTACCTTCGCAGCCACCGAAGTGTAACAAAGAAGCTTACAAGCAATAGAATGATTCACTATCAGAAATTCGCCGCGATTTAAAGCACTCGTCGCGAATGCATCGCAGTAGAGAAGGAAGTTAAAAGGTTTGCGCCATCACAGTTTCCTCCTGCAAGGTTGCAGTCCCTGATACACACAAATCCTGTACGTTGAAAACAGCCGTGCCCTTTCCTACAGTGCATTATATTAGCGATAGTTAGCATCCTTTTGTGCACGAGACTGCTAGTACGAGCATGACACCGGCGCCTTTATGCGTTATTTTCGAACAGCAAATTAAAGAACGCAAAGTTTCACCACCCATTTTAGTTCCCCCAAAGAGTTATTTTCAAAACATATGTAGTTTTTAGCGATATGATTTCAACTGCCAAAATAAAAAGGAAAACCCGACGGTGGTTTCCTCGTGCAAACTGCTCAAGGGCTCGGATAAATATATCAAACGAATAAACGATACATTTCTGACACATACCTTGTTCCCATTGCCGTCGTTGGCGCCACCTTGCTTGCAGAGAGGGACACAGCCATTTCATGACGTCTAGCCGGAAGAAAAAGAAAATCGCGGAGCACATACCAGCGCGCACGAACCCGTCCAGCAGCATTTCTTGACTCTACCAAGATGGCGGATCTTGATCTTCTCGCGCCTAGTAGATGACTCTGCGTATTTTGTATATCTAAAACTCCTTAATAAAGGCGTTTTTACCAGTACTGCCAACAATTGTGGAAACGCACAAGACACGTGCCACGAGAGGGTGCTCAGCCGCCATGCGCCTCCAAGGGCGGCTTGAGAAACGAGCCTTGTGCGCTGGCGGGTTTGACGCTACCTGCAAGATAAAAGCAAACACAATCGAGGGGCTTTACGTATATATCCTAGTGACGGCAAGAGATCTCAAAGGAAAGATCAATAAAAAAATGTAAAGGTGCAGTAGCAAAATGGGCGCCAGCCCTGCCCAGATTGACGCTTAGTAGACTGACGTGGTCGTTTCGGTCACGTCGACACGTGTCGTCGGCGCACCGACCAGGAACACACTGCTGAGATAGTGAAAACGTGACTGAAACGACTGCGTTACTCTTCCAAGCGACAGTGTCGGCAGAGCTGCGGCACCCTTTTTGCGGGCAATTTTTAAATTGGAATAAAAACGTGAAAGTTGATAACTTAAATCCTAAAAAACTTATGTAGTACTGCTACACCTATCCATCGTTCTGTCCTGTAATAATAATTTCCGTCAATACTGCAATTTAAACGTATTTCCTTAAACCAATATTTAAAATTAATTAAAAAAATATATAGTTATTGAGCCAACGTATCATGACGATTATTCCCTCATCTAGTTTTTGTCCTGCTTGATAAAAACAGGGCGAAGACCGGCACTCACCTAGCCTTCACCTCCTTTTTATAAAAATATATGTTCGAGTTCAAAAACAAGCACCCTGTACATGCGGCTGGCCGATTATGGAGGGTTTTCATCAACAACACTGAACTTTAAAAGAGTACAGTTGAAATAAATAAATACTTGAGTCGAAGGCAAAGTGAATTTAACGTAATTATCTTTAGATATGCAATATGTGAGCACCCTATCTTCAGACTTGAGTAGTCTCTCAGTGGATAGTCCGCTCAAGGCAAATTCTGGTTAAAAAAAAATGTTTTCCTTGAATTGTACGCACCTGCTGCATAAATCACACCCTATCTTCAGGCTTGAGTAGTCTCACAGTGGATAGTCTGCTCAAGGCAAATTCTGGTTTAAAAAAATGTTTTCCTTGAATTGTACGCACCCGCTGCATAAATCACACCCTATTTTCAGGCTTGAGTAGTCTCACAGTGGATAGTCTGCTCAAGGTAAATTCTGGTTAAAAAAGATGTTTTCCTTGAATTGTACGCACCTGCTGCATAAATCACACCCTATCTTCAGGCTTGAGTAGACTCACAGTGGATAGTCTGCTCAAGGCAAATTCTGGTTAAAAAAATGTTTTCCTTGAATTGTACGCACCTGCTGCATAATTCACACCCGGTTCACAGTTCGCACCTGATGCCAAGTAAACGGGAAAACCTAATTTCATACGCAGTACACATTTCACAAATGCCTCCTTTATAAGTTCAAGAAGGATCTTGCATCATACATCATGCATCATGGAAATTATAATTATGTTTTTTGTTTATAGGTGCCTGCAGTTTCTTTAAACCATTCATTTCTGAATGTTCTGAACGGCCTGAATCTAAATAGCCACATTCTAAAACATCTAAGTTTACGAAAACCATATAAGAAAGAAGATGAGTGAGTATTGTCAATGCTTGTTTTCTTTAATTTATTTGTTACTATTGAAGAGAGTTACAATTCTTTTATGAAATTATCCAGGTGGTTCGAAGGTGTGGGAGTGGCAAATGCTTTTTACGCTGAATTCAATAACGAGATCCGTAAGTACTCAAACGAAGAATAAATTCCAGAGCAGTAGAAATCCATTTTGAATTTTCCCTTTTCCTTCCTTAGGCTCAAAAAAGTAATCACGGTACACTAGATCACGTTGTTAAGGAATCTCTCAAATGAATATTTTATTGCGCTGTGGGTTTGCCTAGTAAACCAATCGAAACGAGACTGAAGCTATGCAGGAGCACCTTAGAGTAGCTCTATATTTTGTCTTTATTTATTTATTTGAAAATACTATCAACATTCTCTTGAGTGACATTGCTCAGAGGGTATCCGTTACAAACATACACACATCAATGCAGGGAGCGGTTGGCAATTAAAACATATCAACACGTACGCAGCACAAGTTTGTCACTCTAACAGGTTAACAGCAGAGTGATTAAAGTTCAAAGGCTGGGGTGCCGTTTCTACATAGACGATCTTGTTCCGCAGTCGGCTCCTGGCTTCAATCGGTCTTATAAAAAAAATAGTATTGCTTGAAAAGGTCGCTTCGACTGTAGGACGTTTGGATTGTTTTGGATTAGTGTAATCTGCCTGACCCTTCTTACCTGCTGGGCGAATATATATATTTGGAGTAAAATTAAACTTGCGGTTAATAATTTAAAAAAAGTTATTTTAAGCGTTGGATTTTTCGCCTTGTCTGAAATGGTTGTAGATTGCTCGATTGGAGCGTTTCCGTTCAAGGTGTCATTCTCGTGTAGTTGGAGTGAATAAACCGGAAAGATTGCCTTTGCACCCTCTTTTTTATCAATTTATCAATATTTTGGTATAAGGGTACCATATGTCACAACTGTCTCCTAAGGTGGGGTTTATGTATGTTCCATACGAGCCAGTTTTAACTTGTCTGGTTGCGTGCTTTCATTTCTTCATTAGCAAGCATACATTCCTCTATGTTCTTAAGCAGGTGGTATCAATGCGTTTACTCCGCTTCAAATCTGCTGGGAAAGTAGCCCCGAGATACTTGAAATCTTGCACTATTTCCAGCTCTTTGTCACCATAGAAATATCGAACCACAAGGAAGCTCCGCTTCTTAGAAATATGGGCATATAAAAACTTTACAAAGTGTATTTTTAGATTACACGTGTAGCGCGATTCCTCTAAACGGTCAAGATATACATTTAGTGATGTTAGTTGTTACGGAGAGTTTGCTGTTGAACGGGTAGTACAATCGTCCTGAAGACGTTTGACCTGAAAGTAACTGCATTTTAACGGGGTTCTTTTGCCACGATTGAAAATTTTCATCACCAGTGTCACCATTCTTAGTTTCAGGTTTCATGTTTCAATTTTGTAACTATGTAAAATGCCGTGGTGTTCTTATGTACATCGTGCCAGCATTAGTTTTATTCATTTCATTTTTCTTTTGCACTGCGCGAATTTGCGAAAGTTTCCACGCGTTTTGTTTAATGTTTGGCGAATTTTCGTGGTCATAATTGTTGTGTAACTTCATAACTAACTAACTATTAAATTTCAAACTGAAATAAGTGTATTCATCCAACTTAGGTTTTTAATTTTTGTACTTGCTTTAGAATTCACTTTCCTGCTTAAATTCTTAGTTGGGTTTATTATTTTAGTTTTTCTTCGTTTATAATAACTTTTTGTTCTTCATGCTGATGAGCGTGGAAGATGCCTAATACGGCCCTTTAGTCAAAAAGCGTAAAGACCCCTGGTTTAGAATAGTAAGTCGTACTCAGTTAATAATAATCTGACGTAGTCCAAAGAAATTTGATTTTGATAGTTTTCTGTGTGGTACCCTATCAAACGCTTTATCAAAATGTATGCAGATGATATCGACTTGCGAATGGGGTCAGCTGCACATGAAAAGCACACAGAGATAATATGATAACTATGGCACCACTGGAACAGCAACAATAATAATGCCTCTTTGTTTTCTGCTAATCCTTGATGATGGTTTTTTTCTTTACACTATCTTAAAATGGTTTAAATCTTCACAATTGATTTAGGTCTTCGTTTTCTTTACACTTAGTTCTGAATTTATTTTTCTACAACGCATCGACCTTTCTGCTGTCGGAATGTTCTTATTCCTTCTCTTCTGTCTTTTTTAAGCGATCTTTCTTTTCTTCTACCTTTGCCTGGAACTCACGTTATTCCGGAGAAAAATCTTCGTTGAGTTGTGTAGTGCAAGGGAAGGGGCACTACCACAGTCCTCGCCTTTTTTTCGATGGCTAGGGCTCCCAGCACTTCACGGACGAGTTGATGTTTATGTCGCACCACGATTTTGATGTTGCACAACACTGCCTCGCATTGGCATCCGCGACAATGGGCTGCAAGGTGTCTGCTGCTCTCAAGTTTTGCAGAGATTTGGCATGTTCTCTGGTTCTATCATTAAAACAGCGCCCTGTCTGCACAATATAACACCTTCCAGATGTTAATGAAATGTTATAAATTACTTCTTTTTGACATTCGGCGTACCTTGTTTATTGTTTTGTGTGCGATGTTACGTGCTTCTCGGTGCCTACGTTTGTTTTCGTTTACCCGGCCGCAAGTAGAATACATCTTGTTCAGCGCGGAGCTTATCACTTAGACCCCTTGCCGGCCTGCGATCTTTTTTAGCCGCTGAGTGATGCCATGGAGGTAAGGTGCTACCACTATGGAATTTCCAGTATTTTTCTTTGTTCACTCGATGCCTTCCTGTCCACGCTTCAACTCTGGGAGATTTTTTCGCATATTGATACCAGTAGTGTTTCCGGATACCCAGAATCAAGTGGCCTAGATATCTGAGTGTAAAAACACTTCCGGATCGGGTGTTCACATGACTTCTTTAAGGTAGATGTTAGTGCTGTCGTGGCTAACCCATCGTTTGACGTCCTTTGAGTGTCCGGATTCGAACGGAAGACACCCTTTGCAGGACCGAGCTTGGTACCGCCAGCAGACGTGGCCACCTTTAAATCTAAGGGAAGATCAAGGAATCTGATAGATTTGTTTTCGGGTAGTTCCTGAGTAAACTCAAGTCCTAAGCAGCTCTGTTGAAAGCATCTCATGGCATACTCGCGGCAACCGTTATCTTGTTCTACTAACTCCGGGTTACAAAGTATTACGAAATCATCAACGTAGCGGTAGATGACTCCAATCCGGGGATCTTTCATGCTTCGTTGGATAGCAAGTCCGCATGTTACGAGGAACACATCGCTGAGGTAAGGAGCCACTCGAGACTCGATGCATCCACTCCTTTTTGCATATACTGCCGATCTTGATAGGACACCACCGTCGCCATCCCCATTTCAGGCCTAGGAGGCCTGCAATGGGGATGGAGTAATACACATCTTTTTGTGTCTAGGGAAAATACAGAGGCAATGTTAGAACCATTTTCCTGCAGAAAGGAGATCACACTTTTTGAGTTCGGAATCTTGAAAGGGTCTTGTACCTACACTTAAGAGAGTTGTTTGGCCAGAAATGTTGACACTTGTGCTTGCCAAGTATTTCTTTCTGATGCAATTGCCCGGAACGGAACTCCCTCTTTGTGAGTCTTGGCAGAGAAAAATACCGACACACGGTTATTCTTCGTTGCTTTGATTTTTGTGACAAGTCTGTCTAGCTGGTTATTTTCTAGTATCTTCAGGATGACTTTTTTTATTGATGCAGTTCACTTTTGATCCACTGGAATGAAATTTTCTGCGACGACTCAATCGGCTCTTTCTGCGTACTTTTCTTTCTCGAGGACGACAAACCAAATTCGGAATTTCTTTTCCTGTAACGCATTGATTTTTCTGCTGTCGGAATGTTCATTCCTTCTCTTCTGTTTGATGCGCATAGTTTTAGATCTTTTAGAAGTTCCATCCCCACTAAAACAACTAGCTTATACTACTTTAGTCAGAACTAAAGTCGCTTCTTTCATATGGTCATCCTGGCCATTGAACGGCATCCAGGCTAACTAACAGCCTGGATGCCGTTCAAAGCAGAGCCCTCCGTTTTATTTATTCCGGCTATCTCCCTAACGAAAACATATCAGGATTTCGCCAATCAGCTAACCTTGACACCCTTTGTCATTAGTGCGGGGTGTCTCGTCTTTCTCTTATTCATCGAGTCTTTTATTACAACAGACATCTCAGACAAAGTTTGCTATCGCCTCCTTGCAGCATTTTCCCTCGTCTCGACCATTCTTGTAAACTCAATCCAATATCGTTGTCAACCGTCACTCACCAAATGTCTAGTTTCACCATTGGGAATTGACGACTGGAACTGACTGCCTGACGTAATTGTTTCCTTAGCTGACACTAAGAACTTTCCTGCAGCCATTAGCTTATTATTTCTAACCCTAAACTAGATTACATCGTGTTTCTGTTGATAAAAAGTTGTGTTATTTGTTTGTCTTTTGAAGTGTTCACTGCGTTGTATAATGCCCCCGGGGTCTTCAAGGTATAATAAATAACGATGATGATGATGGTAACATCCCATTCACATCTGGGAGGTGTTATATTGGGCAGACAGGGAACTCTATTAATGATGAAACCAGGGGACATGCCACATCTCTACAAAAGTTGACAGCAACAGGGCACCTTGCAGCCCATTGTCGCGCATGCTAATGCGAGGCAGCGTCGTGCAACATCAACATCGTGGGGCAACATAAAAATCGACTCGCCCGTGAACTGCTGGAAGCCCTAGCCATCCAAGAAAGAGGCGAGGACTGTGTTAGTGCCCTTTCTGTTGCACTACACAACTCAGAGAAGATTTTCCTGTGGAGTGACCTGAGTTCCAGGCAAAGGTAGAAGACGAGGAAGATCGCTTAAAAAAAGACAAAAGAGAAGGAATGGGAACATTCCGACAGCAGAAAGGTCAATGCGTTGCAGGAAATGAAATTCCAAATTAAGTGTCAAGAAAACGAAAACCTAAATCAATGTAAAGAATTAAAAAATTTAAGTTAGTGTAAAGAAAAAGGAAAGCGGAATCAAGGATTAGCAGAAAAAAGGGGCGTTATTAAAAGTTACTAGTCCAGCGGTGCGAATGTTATAATATTTTCTTTGTGTGTTTTTCGTGTTCAGCTGGCCCCGTTCATAAGCAATGAGGCAACTGGCTCAGCTTGTGCCCGTGACATCGACTTGTTTTTTTTTTATTTACTGTGGATGCAATATTAAATGACTGGTTTTAGCCAGTTGAAGGATCGTAGTCGAACTCGACCGCCAAAGCAAACTACTCGTTCTTTTTGAGTGACACTAGGAGATTCCGGGAATCTCTTCGGTTGAATCACTGCCCGGGACTACCGATAAACGTTTCTTAGATTTACGCGTTTTCGATGTTTCAGTAGTTATAAACGATACACTTAATTGATTCGATTAACTTTATTATTAAAATATGGGTTAACCTTTTGCTTATCTAATGTACCCAATTAGGTTAAATGTTCACTTGTGACTTGAAACAAGGAGTAAGCGAAGCCCCGAAAGGTCGTTCTTCCGCCGGAAATATTTTGCAAAAACAAAAGGGGGATTTTTTTCCCATTTGATACCTGAGAAATTGTAGTTCCGTTAAACAAGATCCGTTCATAAAAGCAATAATTTGGCAGTATAAGGTATAATGCATATTTACTATGTTCTATGTTTCTCACTAAACGGAAAGTTTAATTTAGTCATTCACTCCTACAATGATTTGCAACACTGGAGACTACCGGTATCCTTTCAAATATTCAATGCAATGTTTGCGCTCAACAATTATTCGTAAGTTGTTTACTTTTAACCTTTAAATGTTCAGTTTACTTTTGCTTCTAACTTTTTCAGATAAAACTTTGCTGTAAATTATGTTCTAAATTCCCTTATTCGTTGTTTTATATAAATAACCGTGTGTCAAAAGAAAAAAAAAAGAACAAAAACGATTATTTGGACGGGAATAAAATGTGATCAAAACGTTTTTTATTATCTTGTTCCGGAGTCAAACCAAAAAACTTAGCGATTCTTTTTTTTTTTTGTTTATGGAAAATGTACAGGTACTTCAGTATTCTCTCCACACAACGAGAAAGGTGACAGCCGGTGGTAGGTGGCAGACGTCAGAGGAAGCAGAATATGCTCGCAAAGCGTTTTACAGAAAGAAAAAAAAACAACTGAGGCTCACGCTCAGCTTTATTCGACAAGTGAGGGAGGCTGACTGGACATGGCATGCTTGCTGGAAGTGCTGGATATGGTGCGACGCCTTTGAAAAAGCACGAATGTATTGACATCTAGGGAAAAACGAATGAAACCCAAATCGGAACTGTAAACGCGAGCACATGTAGATCTTGAGTACCAGCCACACAGGTCAATGCGGAGCAGGCGTTCTCGGCGCTGACATTTACATGATTTGAACGGAGGTAATCCAATTCACCGGGTACACTTAATGACGTGCTTCTTCTGCGATCATCGACAGCTCCTTGAGTCATTCTTCCTCACGGTGTTGTTCCCCCGCATTCTTCAATTTAACATTTTGTAATAACTGAGCACTTGCTAAAGCATTCTGGCGACCTACTTTATATAAAAACAAACGTTTCTTTTTTTCTTACTTTTATTATGATTTTTTTTTGCACGTGAACACCAAGTGTAAGGAACCGTTACTGACCATTATTTCTTCGTTCCTGAGCTCAAACGGAACAGAACGTTTTCTTATAAAACAAAACTGAAATCAGAAAAAAGAAAAGTCATTCATAGTGGAGAGTCTTAGACACCTCATAATGCATGCAGGGATTGCATGAACTTTCTGAATGCCTTTCTGAATTCACTACACATCCTTTTGCATCCATCTCCTACATACACTACAGATCATTTGCATTTTTCTTTCCAAAAATGTTATTTCTTTAGTATTTGTGAGGATGTTAAAGATCACTATTTACTTAGTGCATCAATGGTTCTCGTTGCTGAATACTTAGGTCAAACATACCTCCTTTATTTCAGTCTTCCCTGCTGGAATACTTCAGCCGCCAATTTTTGAAGACGGTATACCTTCGTAAGTGGTTTTAAAAATTCAATCGAGTGTGTTCTATAAATGGTTTTCTATAATACGAAAACGTGTCGGCCACTGCACCAACAATGTGGTAAATGTAATTATAACTGAAAAGACAACCATTCGAGATTGGTAAAACAAATATTGATGTTGACGCTTTTTAGGGAGGCAGCATTCGTTCGCCTTTGTTTTCCTCGCGACTTGATTGTGGAATGCGCATTGCAGTGCAATGAGTACATAATACGCGGAACACCGCACACAGTAGCATAAATACAAAAATAACAAAAAATACATACAAACAATTTGAGCGTATATTGGAAAGTATCCGAAATTAGTATGGAAGCCAACTAAATCTTAATTAATTTATGCTTTATTTTTAATCCTATAACCCTCAAAACACAACATACTCGGTCCAATGTTTCTCCAGATTCTCCATTCTCTTTGAAAAGTGACTTTCGTCTAGGTTCCCAAAAAATACTTGCCAGCCTCGATGGCCTCTTTCATTCGGCCTAAATTTTCCACCAGTCAGAATTGTTATAAGTCTCGGCACCAGGTGGAAGTACGAGGACGCAAATTCGAGCGAGTATAGCGGATGCAGAAGAATTTTGAACTTCAGTTCTGTCAATCCTTGCTCATCCAGCGAAATTGCTAAGTCCAGCTAATTTGCACCGGATTGAGGAGATGCGACACCCACATTGCATAAAGGCAACTTTTATCTTAGTATCTAAACTATAAGAAGGGTTCCGTGTGTTCGTTATGTAATTTTCTTGAAATTCGGGGGTTATTTATTGGTGTTTATATTATAGCGTTCCTGACTGTTCACCCCGCGTACGGGTCAAGTACTGTACAAAACAGCCGAGAAACGTAACTAAAACATTTTACTTCATCGGAAAAGTCTGAACCTGGAACCGGTGCTGATCAGCTCCCTAGCTCGTGGATGCGGTCGTTCCTTCTCTGCTCGGGCCACCTCCTTTTTCTTGTTCGTCCTTCATTTTTTTTTCTATTCAACCAATGTCTTTTATGTTCTTGTGGTATTCATAAACTTTAGACGAACACGTCTGTTAAAAACCTCCGGCGGACACGCCGGGAACGTACCGCTACAGTATCTCTCCTTTGAGTCGGTGTTTTTTGGTGTCTAATTTCAATGCCGGAGAAAAATCGATGTTTGTCGGGCTTGTGTTGTAAAGCGACTGTCTGATTACTAAAAAAAATAGTATATTTCTACGTTAGTTTAAATCATATAATATGGTATAAATTATATAACGTTAGTATAAATTATATATAATAATAGTTCAGTGCGGTTGTGTTCCGGGTCAATGAGAAGGAAAAAAATTAAAAAAAGTAAGGTAGAACGTTTTTTTCCGAAAAGCTGGCCTTTTTCCCACTTCAAGGACAACTCAAATTTGGCATTTTTCGGTTTTCACCGATTCGGAGAAATCTGCCTCGGGGGTAAATATTTTATTTATCTGTGTACGTCGAAAACACGGAAGAGTAAGTAAAAACTACTCGTTCATAAACGCTCCCTCACAGGTTTCATAATTTCACGCACTTATATTCGGCGAGTTCCTAGAACATTTTATAGATTTGGTTTACAATTTCTTGCGTGGCAGTCGTTTTTGAACGTCTTGAATGTGGTTCGTCACTTGTATGCCTCCGCCCATTCTCGAACATCGAAACCCAAAAACTCACGGTGGAAAATGAAGGACCTAAATTCACAAGAGCAGAATCTGACCTGTATGTGATTTCCTCCCAAGATTTTTCTTTTAAACTAAACATATGACCGATCGGACATCTTTTTTAATCAATATTCGAAATCCACAAATGTTGTCAACACAACTATATTTTACTATCTGGAAAACGCCGTCCTCCTTGACGCGATTATGGAAACAATTGAATTTATTTGGTCTGAGACAAGTAAATATCCCGTTGAAGTTCTCAAGTTCCTGAAAATCAGCTCGCCGTGTTTATATGGATAACCGAATCGCTTGAAAGATACGTCCACTTATTTTTCCTGAGAGAAATATACTGTGGGTCAAAGAGCACTGAATAAGCAGAGACGATAAGTGTGTTTTAAAGCATGAAACGCTTAACGGAACCCCTAATCCCCAAGTTTTTTTTGGTCAATCCGTCCAGAGTGAATTTCTCGCTCAATTTCGTGGGGAAACTAAATTGGTGTTTAAGTCTGATCACGTGACCTCAAGTCACGTTATCAGATCTCACGTGATTTCTACACCAATTACGTTTTCCCGCCAATGTCTGGGGGATATTGATGCCACGTGACCTGACGTCACATGACGTATACACCAACTCAGTTCTTCCTCTAAATTTGGCTGGAAAATTTATGTCACGTGACCTAAACACCTACAGTTTCCCCGCCAAATCTAGCAAGGAAATTCACGTCAAGTGACCTGACCATACTTGGCAGGTCAACACAACTTTCCTACTAAATTTAGCAAAGAAATTTACGTCACATGGCCTCCACACGAATTTGGTTTTCCCGTTAAATTTAGCGGGGAAATTGACACCACGTGACCTAAACACCCAATCCGCCTTCTCGAAAGTACTTGGGATATTGAGAAAAACAAAGGTTCTTCACTCCACGAACCTATGGTTTAATGTCTGCTAAATGGTTTTAAACTATCGTATCTTAAATTCTGCATTTTAAGCATAATTTTGTGGGAACGAACTTCAGAGGCGATGTGGTAGCGCTCAGTGATTTGTGTTAAGTGAAACTTTTGCTTTACATTATGAATGCTAGCAGGATTCGACGAATATGGCCCGATTAAAGTCTATTTTCAAGAATGTCCTATATAAACTCCGAAAGAATAAACTTTCATTAGGGTACTTACCCAGGACACGCCAGCCATTTAAAAATAGCCGAGATTTTTTTACCGACGCTTTAATTAATCGAAAGACGGACAATTTACCTGCGATGAGTATCGACATCCCCCAAGGATCGGTGGCACGCGTAGGCACTCTGTTAGTACCTTTTTTTATAGAGAAGGCATTCAAAATGACACTAGATCAGATTCGTACCTTACTTTTAGGTTAATGCAAAATATATTTTGCCGGGGCAATCTTTTTTTTTTTTTTTTCGAGCTTACGTGACATCATATTCTGGTTATGGCTAGCTTGAATGAAGGAGTTTGCAAAATTTTTATGGAAGACCGAAGGCAGTGCATTGATAGTTTTCTGTCACCCTTTCCTTGGGCACCATTTGGCATTGAGTTGAATAACATCCTTCATAATCTTGCTATATTTGGTTAATTATCGTCAACATGTCACCCCATGGCATACATTTTATGAATTTTACTTGGGCTACTCAATATCATCCCTAATCTAGTCTAGGGGCTGACAAACGGCGGTTCGCGAGCCGCATGCGGCTTGTCGTAGGTCCAAGTGCGGCTCCCTACTCCCTGGTAAACGGGGCAATCTTCCCCTCCTGTGTCCACAAGACGAGAGTTCTAGAATTTAAAAAAAAGCTCAGTCTTCGCAGCTTTGTACTATCCGACGTACACACAGGGGGACTGCTTTTTGACACAGAGATGTGTCCTGTGACCGTGTTTCGTTTATTAGAGCGCAGCTCTTAGGGGCCCGTTTCCGGCTTGAGCGGCGTCGCCGTCGCCGTCGCCGTCGGCGTCGCCGTCGGCGTAACCGCGCGGTGCATCATGGGAAATGTCCCATAATGCACCGCGCGAGCCCCCCACCGGGGTCACGTGACCTCGTTGGGGGTCACGTGACCCCCCCGAGGTCACGTGACTCCCCTGAGGTCACGTGACCCCCTCCTCAAGGTCACGTGACCCCCTCCTCGAGGTCACGTGACCCCCCGAGGTCACGTGACCCCCGCCGATGTCGCGTGACCCCCCGATGACGTCATCGTCACTGATGACGTCACCGGCATCCACATCGTCATCGTCATCATCACTGATGACGTCACCAGCATCCACATCGTCATCGTCATCATCACTGATGACGTCACCGGCATCCACATCGTCATCGTCATCATCACTGATGACGTCACCGGCATCCGCATCGTCATCGTCATCATTACTGATGACGTCACCGGCATCCACATCGTCATCGTCATCATCACTGATGACGTCACCGGCATCCCCATCGTCATCGTCATCATCACTGCTGACGTCACCGGCATCCACATCGTCATCGTCATAATCACTGATGACGTCACCGGCATCCACATCGTCATCGTCATCATCACTGATGACGTCACCGGCATCCGCATCGTCATCGTCATCATCACTCATGACGTCACCGGCATCCCCATCGTCATCGTCATCATCACTGATGTCACCGGCATCCACATCGTCATCGTCATCATCACTGATGACGTCACCGGCATCCACATTGTCATCGTCATCATCACTGATGACGTCACCGGCATCCACATCGTTATCGTCATCATGACTGACGACGTCACCGGCATCCGCATCGTCATCGTCATCATCACTGATGACGTCATCAGTGACGTCACTGATGTCGTCACCGGCATCCGCATCGTCATCGTCATTATCACTGATGACGTCATCAGCGACGTCACTGATGACGTCACCGACATTCGCATCGTCATCGTCATCATCACTGGTGAAGCCATCAGTGACGTCACTAATGACGTCATCGGTACCCGCATCGTCATCGTCACAGATGACGTCATCAGTGACGTCAGTGATGACATCATCGACATTGGGGGTCACGTGACCCCCAAGGTCACGTGACCCCCCCCCTGGTTAGTTTACCCCCCCCCCCGTGCCCTTCCCTCCTCCTCCTCAAGAGCTGCGCTCTAATTCGGCGTTACAGGGAGTTGTAAGCGGCTTTCATTTTTTAGAGGCGGCGTCGGCGTCGGCGTCGGCGTCGGCGTAACCAAGGTCATCCCAAGGTCACGTGACCCCCAAGGTCACGTGACCCCCAAGGTCACGTGACCCCTCCCAAGGTCATCTCAAGGTCACGTGACCCCACGTGACCCCCTGAAGGTCACGTGACCCCTC